CCGCGTTGAGCAATTGGTAGCAAATTCAGATAAGGTGAGGTGTTACCAGCTTCAGATGGCGTATTGACAGCTCTAGCGGCTAAATTTGACAGACTCACATCTATGATCTGAATTTTGTGTTCTAGCAAATCCATGGCTACTTTTCCCGGAGCGGTTAGATTTAGGTCTCCTCTCTCGACTTCGTCTGAAGTATCCTTCACAAACTTATGCACATCTTTTCTGATCCCTTCGAGGAGATGATAAAACTTCCCAATGTTAAACATTGATTCTAGTGTCCAAAATGTAGTAGGAATGCACATCTGGCTCATAGTTTCTATTGTGACTCCGACATTACCGGGAAAATTACGTATGGGGGATATTTTGTCTAGTCTATTGCCATTGGATAGGATTCCTCTATCTTCAGGGATTTCTTGAATTAGTAAACCATGAATTGACTTTGAAATGGACAATGTTAGGAGACACAGGAATAGCGCGTTCATGTTGACTAGCTTGCGCGTGAGCATCAGGGATACAACTGCGCAGCATTATTTTCCAGTACTCACATATCAGCGTTAGTCCTTGGCGGTACTGACTGTGCTCTGGCCTCGGCGCGCGTGCATGCCGGGATAATGTTATCGGCATCAATGCCACTCAACATGCGCGGTTTTACTTCCCTTTCCTCGCTTCTCCGTTTTGCTTCCTTCTTGCGCTCCTTCTTTTTCTGGCTTTTTGATTTTTCTGCTGTTGCTGGAAGGGCAGCAGAAGCTCCCCATGCTTCTCCGTTTTGCTTCCTTCTTGCGCTCCTTCTTTTTCTGGCTTTTTGATTTTTCTGCTGTTGCTGGAAGGGCAGCAGAAGCTCCCCTGTCTGGCGTCCTTGTCAGCGGCATCTGTGACCTTCTCGGGGTACTAGACGACTCTGGCGGGGCAAGGACGCTGTCGGTAACTGGGGGCAAGGTTGTCTCGATTCCTTCATTGTCATCTGATCCCATTCCAGGAGAGAAGAACTTGCCAATTTCTGAGGTTACTTCGGAAAGAAAAGACTTGTTAGATTTTCCACTTTTTGGAGTATTAGGAATAATGGTTTTGTTAGCATATTCTGGCGATTCATACGAATCGCTTTCTACTGCGGTATCTGTCCTGAGTTCTGGTGAGTGGCTAGGAGTCCCATAGAACATGAGTTCAGGAGCAGACACATCTAAAGCAATGGACTGATTTGGTGCTTCCTCAGTATCATCGTCTGCTTCTTTTCCGGGATCCTCTGCGGGAAGTGTTACGTCACCAGCAGTTGCGGGTGCATCGCCAGCAAGGGTTGCGTCAGCTGAGATTACCTCATTCTCAGTTTGTGACTTCGAAACAGCATCGGTTGTTGGAATGCTGGGACTTTTCAGGGATTGCGTGTTGGGGGTTATATTTTGATCAACTTTGTCAAACTCATCATCTTCTAGCATATCTACCTCTAAAGGATCGGGAACATGATCTCTGGATTGAAATGGTCTAATATAACTGGAGTGAACTACATCGGTCCACTCGGGATGCCTATCATCTTGAATACGCACAACCACAGGGTTTACAACCTCCAATATTGTGTATGGGCCTTTATATTTGGCACTCCACTTTTTTCCAACAAAAGTGAGTGGATGTTGTCAAAGCCATACTTTATCCCCGATATTGTAGGCTGTGCCTTTTCTATGCACATTCAAGCGTTCCAAATATGAAGCTTGTCCTTTCCTGATGGCCTTTTGTGCCTGTTTGCGTAAGGATTCTAATTTTTCCTTCTTCACCTCATAATATTCCTGTATACTCTGGAACTGCTCCAAGTTTTGTAAGCTTGAAAGCCAATTTCTTCTTGGTT